CCCCGGAAAGGGGGGGGGGGGGGACGGACCAGGGGTGCGCAGGTCCATTGGGCCTGGCCTTCTCAGCAACACTAACGTAGCGATTACCATGTGCCAAGCACTGTCTTAATACTTTATACATATTAACTCACCAGTGCAGACTTTTGGTGTTTTGTCCCAAAGAGTTACGTGTAACGTTACGAAGACATACTGACAGGACCGAATGATCTAAAAGCACCACCTTTGCTACTGCTTACGACATTTCTTCATTCTTGGTGGCACCAAGAGCCAAACACACCACAGTGGCCTGGGCTCCTTTTCCTCAGGCCACCGCAGAGGCCTGATCTCAGGAAGTCTTAACGAGCCCACGGCCTCAGCCTGTCATTCCCCCTTCTCGAGGGAGGCCGAGACAACGCCACCGCTCGGGGCCGGAGACCAGTAGGCCCTGCTGGGCACTCAGGAGAGGAGGGGCTGTGGGTACCTTGAACTTGGTGGGGTGGTTGTCTGGGATGCTGTCTCTATTCAGGCAGCTGCAGCAGCTCCCCATGGTGTCAGAGCAGCCGGCCCACCCTAAGGGAAGCATAAGGGATAAGAAAGTCAAGGTCAGCTCCCCCAAGCCCTGCGCTCGGGAACTCGGCAGAGCCATCTCACTGTGACCACTTACTCTGCCCAAGGGGCTGTATGACACAGTCCCTCCCTCAAGAAAGTCCCACTCTCCACCCAGGACCAGACACACGCTGGATAAACATTAACTCGAGTTAGGGTGGGTTAAAGATTAATGCTAATGGGGGATGGAAAGTGCTTCTCAGACATAGCATTTGATCTAGACCTTGAGAAGTATATAGGATTTGGGCCGATGCAATGACAGTGAAGGGAGGCCTGGGCAGCAAGAAAAACATGAAACAAGTAGAAACCCAGAAGTGATTTGCATCAGGAGTTGGGTTCTGGCCTTGAGCCTCATCCAAATTCAGCGAAGAAATTAATTGGGGAGTCCCAGACACTTTGGCTGAAAGTGCTTCTCAGACATAGCATTTGATCTAGACCTTGAGAAGTATATAGGATTTGGGCCGATGCAATGACAGTGAAGGGAGGCCTGGGCAGCAAGAAAAACATGAAACAAGTAGAAACCCAGAAGTGATTTGCACCAGAAGTTGGGTTCTGGCCTTGAGCCTCATCTAAATTCAGCAAAGAAATTAATTTGGGAGTCCCAGACACTTTGGCCTATACTTTTCTCCTTTTCCACCTCATTCTTCCCACATCATCCCAATCCTCTTTTCCTCCCTTACCACCATCCCAACATCCACCTCAACTTTATCTTTTTGATGTTCTTTTCATTTGAGGTGCTACATTACGGTCGACACATATGTAATACCCTTTGTAATACTTTAAAAAAATAATAAAATAAAACAGCACACTTTTCATAAACTTGACTTAAAAAATACATGCTGGATTTGCTTTTGGTCAAAGGGGAAACATAATCTTGGCTTTTCCCTCCAAGATAAGGCACTGGGATTGTATGTCACAATAGTAGGACTGTGCCTAAGATGGAGGGGATACCTACCACCAGGTTTGAGTGGCCTAAGGGAGCAAGCAAACACATGGACTGATTCCAACTGGAAGTTAAGGGGTTGCAACTTGATACAAGAAGTGAATCTGTAAGATCTGATATCCCACTGAATGTATAAAGCTTTGAACAAGCCTGACCTGCACCCTCCATCCCTCTCAATTTGGGAAACTCTAGGATAAAGTGGCTCCTATATATAGCTCTCACCTCACCTAGGCCATCGGGAAACTGACTCTGGGAGGGGCATGGGGAAGGACCCCCACTTTAGTCCCCCTGTTCTTGGTGGGGCGTCATGGCAAGCAGTCTGCAGAGAAGTCACCTGGATCTCTCTGGGACACACCCGGGGCTCACCTAGCATAAGAGACAGAGACCACAGGTTAGTGGAAACATTCACCCTCACCAACTGTTAGAGAGATTGACTTGCTGTCGGTCCATCCCACCTGCGTATCTGTTCCAGGTCCTAATGGGACCAAAACACCAATGGATAAAGCAAGATCAAGGGCAAAGGGACCACAAGTTCTGAGCGCCATAAGCTCTGGGAAGGGTACTCTCCTAGTATCAATGGGTTTGAAGTCTGAGGCAGCCCGCGACCTTTTCAGTGGCCGCCAGACTCCGGCTGAATGCTGTTACGACCAACACCAAAACCACCACCTTACCTTTGCAGAGAACTTTACAAAGAGCTTTCTCAAAAAGACACTATGACGTACTGGAAAGAGCACTGGCTTAAGATTCAGGAAACAAATATTCTAGACTGTTTTGCTGCTACTAGGAGACGGCCAAATCAGTCCCACCACCTCCACCCCCAACTCCCACCCCGAGGCGTTAGTTTTAAAGGGAAATATTTGTAAACTGTGGCGCTTCCAGCGTAAATAACCTCTAGAGAAGTATGTAGGACAAATATCACTACAATTTTCCTCTTTCACAACAATCTCACATTTGAAAGCTTGATAGATTTTTTTTCTGTTCTCCAAGCTCTGAAAGGCCTAGAATGTTAATACACATGCTAACAATAACCCAAAATTTCAGGGATCTGAGCCCCAAGTAGACAAGCTGACAGGGCAGGACCCAGAGACTCGTGAAATCCCACCTTCCTTTCCGGAAAAACAGGATCATTTCCCAGGACCTCTTGTACTCGTATGCTTGGAAAACTTCCCAGGTGGAAAGACCCCCACCCTCTTGGTCTGGCTTTTTTCTTTGGAAGGTGGTAGCAGGCTGAGGGCGGTGTGCACAGCCTAGAGACAGGCGGCGGCTGGGGAAAATACTGGGGCCTGAGCCATCCCAAGGAGTCTGGGGTGAAACCAAGAACTAAGTATAGGGCGCAAGATGGAGGCGGCTGCTGCACCTCTTCTGTCCCCTTCTCTGTAAGAAACATCTGATGACAGCCCGACGAGGGGCATTACAGTGGATGGGACAGGAGAAGGGAGCTCTGGTCTGGGATAGGGTTGCATGGGGCACGGAGTTAAGAGGGGGTTATGAGGACTCAGAATACATCCGAGGGCTGGGGGAACCTGGGCAGTTTTATGGATGTGAACATGGTGCAAGGAGAACGGGGAGGGGTGTGATGGGTCAGAGGAATGTCAGGGCGGCGGAAGCATTCGGGGCATCCCGGGGAGAAGGTGGGCGTGCGGGAAATCCGCAGGACGAGGGGTTCCGAGGGCACCAGGACGGGCGAAGGTGTGTCGGGTGGGGGTGGGGTGGTTCTGAGGCGTGAGAAGCATTTAGGCTGCGGGGCTGTCAGGGGATTTCTAGACTGGGATCCCCAGCTGATTTCAGGAAGGAATGGGGGCGGTCGGGC